GGCAGCGCTGGGTAAAGCGCGCAGCGGGGATTCTTGGAGATGGGTCTTCGGGAGCTTATTCTCGCGGCTTGCGTGTCATTAGGAATTCGTCTTGCTCTTGTGCGCTAACGTTGGCGTGTTGCCCTCCCCGCGCTTCTCCCCAGGCATCGTGGCTGGCGGCGGCCGTATTGACAAGCCCATCCTGAAGGCAGGCCGTGCCTACCACAAGTACAAGGCAAAGAGGAACTGCTGGCCGCGTGTCCGTGGTGTGGCCATGAACGTGAGTCTGCTCTCACTTGACAGTTTTCACTTTCCCCTTTTTACGCTGCAGAAAGGGTTAGAATCACAGAATCACAGAACGGTTTGGGTTGGAAGGGACCTTACAGACCATCCAGTGGCAACCCCCCTGCCATGGGCAGGGACACCTTCCACTAGACCAGGTTGCTCAAAGCCTCATCCAGCCTGGCCTTGAACACTTCCAGGGATGGGGCATCCAGAGCATCTCGCAGCTCCCCGGTTACCCCGCGACGGCACCCTTAGTTGGGGTGGGGAGCAGCACGTGGTAGTTACGGCGCCGTATGAAGAGCGAAGCGGTTACGGGTGTTTGTGTTCACCCGAGTGGGTTTGTTGCTGTTGAGGGATGACGTTGATGATGTGCTTTCCTCTCCCACAGCCTGTAGAACATCCCTTCGGTGGCGGTAACCACCAGCACATCGGCAAGCCTTCCACCATCCGGAGAGATGCTCCCGCTGGGCGCAAAGTTGGTCTCATCGCTGCCCGTCGCACAGGTCGGCTGCGTGGAACAAAGACGGTGCAGGAAAAGGAGAACTGAAGGCCCAGCGTGGCGTTTGTGGAATAAATCTTTACAACAGGGCTTGCGTGGCGTTCCGGTTCTCTGGCTGAGATGGGGGTGACGCTCCGCAGAGCAGTTGGGAGCGGAGATAAGGTGCGAGCCCTGCTCCGCCTCAAAGAGCGGGAGTTCCTCTGGCCAGCACCTTGGTCTGCAGGCTGGTGCTGCAGGCGGGAGTGGCTCCGGGTACGATGTTCACGCCGGCCTCGTTACGGGGTCGCTTAGGCCGGACGGAGCGTTACAGACTGATCGCATAATCCCTTGGTTGCCTGGTTTAACCTACAGATCTAGCTGAAATGGTTGAAGGGGGCTCAGTTTTCTAGATTCATGGGCTCTTCCCATTTTTATCTGCTGTGTTTCTTTTGGAGGAAAGCTTTGTGAGAGGAGAGCTCCTTGCAGAGGAAGGGTTTCAGTTTGGGCGGGCTGAGCCGTGAAGCTTCAGCCAAATCAAAGATGCCTCCCCCTGGGCACACACTCAGAAGGTTGAAGTGTCACACACCCTGCCACCTTTCATGGAATCAGAATCATGGAATGGTT